ATACACAGGTAACTAATTTTGGTTGGTTGCTGTCAGGGTGAGCACTCACCTTGGCTGAGCTGCTGCTGTGGGCTTCAGGGCATGGCCTGTGCCCCCTTCCCATGCCCCCCTCCAGCAGTCTGCCCTCCTTGGGCCATGTTCCAGAGCTGTGTCTCCCAGGCACCTGTGATAGAGCTCCCAGCCACAACAGCACCTTCATTTTAGCCATTGAAGTTGGTTTGCTAAGTACCACAGAGCAAGGCTCACCTCCTGAGTCCTGCAGCTCCGCCCTGCCTGGCTGATGGACACTCCTGAGCCTGCAACAGCTGCTCCTGCTCTGCTGTCCCTGCCCGGGCCTGGATCTGATGGGGACAACTTCCTGGTTTTCCACTTCAACTTGTGGCGAGGGTTGTTGGGGCACAGACAAAAGATGCACTGAAACATGATGAGTAACTTGCTAATTGTGCCAGGAAGGGCGAAGGAGAGCAAGGGGACAGAGGGGCCTTGCTCCTCTCCCAGAGCAGCCAGGGAGAGACAACTATTTATAGACCAAAGCTGAAGTTGTTGGGGAATGGCAGCTGGGAAGCACAGGCAAGTGATGCTCTGCTGGAGGCTGCAGTTACAGCCCAGGGGCTATCAACCATTGCAACAGCTTTTGGGAATCCACCAGAGTTCTTACCCTAAAAGTCAGTTTCTGCAGTAAGTTTTCTTCAGAGTTCTAACCCAAAACAGTTCAATATTCAAGGGGATTTGCAGTTGCTGCTGCCAGATTGCATCACCTTCCCTCAGGTCCCCAGCAGCCCAGCTGTCCCTCTGCACCTCAGCAGCAAGGTGGCCAAAAGCCTCTGAGGAGTGAAGGGCCTTCTCCTCCACCATGAAACTCAGTATGGATTCTCTTCAGTTCCTGCCATATTCCTTTTGGAATGTACATGACTAACATTAATGACAACAAAGTGCCACAGTCCAGCTGGAAAAAGTCACTTCCTGCTGTTGATGCTGGGCCATCATTCCTGGATAACTCACTCTAAGATGAAGAATAATTCATGTCTTGCTCAGTCATACCCTCCCAGTGACCAAGCTGCCAAGTCCCTCACGAGTCTTGTCAGGCTCATTTTAAAATACTGGGTGGTAGCAGAAGCCAGGCTGGTGGCCACCCACACTGTACTGGTGTGTGGGAGCAAGAAACAGGCTACAGCTGCACAGTCTTCTGAAAACTTTGGTTTTATGGTAGTATTTTAAGCACTTTCTGTAATTCCAAACACGCTTTCTCCTTACCCTTTGTAAATCTGACATCTTAATAGTTAGCAAATCCTTAACTACAGAGGAATGTGCTCATTGCTGCTCTGCAAGCTCAACTTCTGATGCTGCAGGAGGACAGACAGCATTTCTAAGTAAAAAAAAAACAAACAAAATAAAACCATATTAAAATCTTAGTTTAGGAGATAAAACTTACACTTCTGTAATCACTGAACAGTTCAGCGAACTCAAAAGGCTGCCTTCCCTACATCCCAAGCAACTGTTCCTAAACCTCTCCAGCTCCTTAGGGCAAGCAAAATGCCAGAAGCTACTTGTCCCTGTCCCTCCTCCACTGCTATTCCACTGGCTATGAGACAGTCCCAATAAAACCCTGGAGCTTTCCAGAGGGTAAGGAACAGTGCTGTACTGAAAATGCAGGATTTTATTTCAAAACTGACTACTAAACTGCCCTGGGAGAAGGTATCAGGGTGATCTTGTCCCCTGGGATGAAACCCCTGCTCAGAGGGGCCCGTGGGCAGTGGGGACCCAGGAGTGCTGTGACAGGAGAGTTAAGCTTCATTCTCACATCTCGAGCAGTTTCAGAATCAAACAGCATATTTTGGTCTTTATTCTAACAAATGATACAACCAAAAATTACTTTTAGTGAAAGTAAATTAAAAACATGGACCAGACGACTACTAAAATGCAAAAATGTGACATTGTTTCCATGAAAATTACAAATCTTAAGGAAAATAAACGTGAAACTGCAGCATTACAGGAAATTTGTTAATACAGATTAAATAATGCAGTTCTCCTTGCATGAGTTACAAATCAAGAACAGATACACTTAAAAAACAGACAAGTCGCTTTGAAGATCAACTTAAGGAGGTGGGTTTCCAGCACAAATATATCCAGAGGGTTTTTTTTGTAAGAAATCGCTTCAATACATAAATCAGGAATTGCAGTAAAGTGAGTACAGTGACTGGAACAGCAGCTCCTTGGAAGGAAAAAGCAAACACATTCCCTTTGCCCAAACTAAAGCAGTATTTTGGAAGACCAGTAAACCAGTTTGGTTAAGAAACAACCCTAGGAATTCTTTTGCAACAAGTTTTTAATTCAGTTTACCAAAACAAATGGCTGCCTTTTAATACTTACTTCATAAAAAACCTCGCAGCCATCAGAAAAAAACAGGTGGTGAGATCAGAAAGGATCAGTGCCCCAGGCTCTGAGCAGTGGGGTCTCCCACAGCCTGAGGCTTCCTCCTCCAGACGTGTCACTCGTGCCCTGTTGTCACCTCAAAGACCCCCACGGTGTCAGTGTGCATCTTGATACACTGATTCTTGCCCAGCCTGTGCCTGCTCCCTTTGTCACCCAACACCTCAGCTGGTGTGGTTAGTTTCCCAGGTACTCCTGCAATCCAGGGTCTCTCCCTGCACTGTCCCTACACATGCACAAGGCAAATGAACAAGTCCAGGCTGACCTGCCTCCTGCTGGGCAGCAGCAAATGGGACAAAAACCTCTGGGAAGCTGCTGTGGGCGGGTGTTCACTCTGCAAGGACCAACCCTGCCCTTCACATGGTCTGAAGGAAAAGGGGGAAAAGGAAAGATCTGTTAGATCAATCCTGGCAGGAAAAGAAGGGGTATCCAAACACCATGTGAGCAGGAGATGGGATATGGCACAGGGCAGTGGTACCCACAGCACAGCTGGGGACAGCAGCTGCCTCTACACAGTATTTGTCACCCACCTGCTGTGCAGACACACCTCAACTGACACACACACACCTCCTGCCAGCACAGTCAGGCCCTGGCAAGGAGACCAATGACTAAACCACTGGTATCCATGTGAACAGTCAGCAGGACACAGCCCTGCTGGGGTCACACCTCAAGCCTCTGGGTGGCTGCAGCAGCACCAAGACACGAGTCCCTAAGGTGGGGTCAGCCCAAGGACCCTGGGCTCACCAGCATTCCAGCACAGTATCCATCAGGAAACCCTGCCCCAAGCCTTCCTGTGGTGTAGGTTTCAAACCACCTCACTAGGAATGTTTCAGACAAAACACATCACCTGCAATGGGAAGGAAACGTACCGAGAAACAGCTCACGGGGTCAGACACCATGAGGCTGGGACAGGAACAAGGAAACACTGAGTTGGGAAGGTGGAATCAGACCCCTCAGCCCCACAGGAAGAGAAGCAGCAGCAGGGCATGTTCACCACGATCATGTAAAAAGACAACAGTCCACCACGTCTGTGTCCACTCCCCTCCACTGACCCGCCAAACCAGAACAAGCCTCAGTACAGCAAACCGCTATAAAAAGTTTCTGCAAACCTTAAAATGTATCAAAGTCAGGAGCTGGGTAATCATGAAGGTTAAAAACCCTGTAAAATCTGCAGCCAGAGTCTGTGGAAACTCACAGGAAACGTTTCCACAAACTGTAGTGGGCTTTGTGTCGGACACCTCATTTGCCACCAGAAGATGACACGGGCTGTTGTACAGGCAGCTGGAGACAAACCCCGTTCTCACGTGAGGCTACACAATAAGTTTTGTTAGTTTTTGTAAATCCCAGAATCCAGGGGCTCTGTTGCCTAAACAACATTGCTCCAGCTACATTATGCTCCCTCCTGTGTCAGCAAGCTCTGTGATGGGCATTTGCAATAACCAAAAATGCACAGTAAAATGAAACACATGGTTCTTCTCTCTAGTAGCCAGAAACTGGATTTCTAACATTCACCTTGTGGAGAAACATTCTGCATTTGCTGAAGTTCCCAAGCAACTCCTGACAGGACCTGCCTGGCTGCAGCTTCCCACCCAGCACAGCACCCCTTCCAGCTGCACCACACTCAACATCCCACCCTGCCAGGGTGCCTGGAAGAGGGTGAGCAGAGACCTGCTGGTGGCCCCGGTGCCAGCCAGGCCTGCCCTCCAGCACTGGCAGGGGCCTGGGTTCCTATTCCACCTGCCCTCCCGTGCTGAGGAGCTTGGCTGCTCCCCAGGAGGTGGGTGTCAGGTGCTACCTCAGATGTGAAACACTTCAGGTCTTCATAATTACTCAGAACAAGTTCTGTCATTCCTGATGGATGTTCCACATCTGCTGCTGATCCAGCACTTCAG